TAAGCTGGTGAGCGGCGTAGCGAACGGCAAGCGGCCACAGAATATGGGGTGCACCGGCATGGATCATGGAGGTGCGAGCCACCTCCATGACCAAACCGATGCGTCGCTCAGCGACCCCATTCTGTTAGAGGGTGTCTGGCAAGGTGAACGTCTGGGTGATGCCCTCCGAACGACAGAAACGACCAAGGACACCAGAGGCAAACTCGCCACCACGGTCGGAGTGGAGACGCAAGACAGGGAGACCGCGGTGGACACGCGCAGAGACAAGCCACGGGATGAGAACGTCAGGCACGTCGGCCTTCCACTCCAGGGGAAACACCGTGGTGTAGCGAGTGTAGTCGTCGACAAGCACTAGGAAGTAGCGCTCTCGACGCGGCCCATGGACGGGGGCGGGGCGCCAGACGTCCATGTGGAGAGTCTGTAGTGGTGCTACGGTAGGGGGAAACGAGGAGGAGTGAGGGGCACGGCGGAGCCGGCCCTCGACACAGGGCGTGACCACGCTGTAACTTGGGGAACGACCCGGGGAGGCATAGGACGAGACCACGCTGTAACATGTGATGCAGACGCGGGAGCGCAGAGTGACCTAGGCGGTGGTGCGAGAGAAGAGTCGGGTGGGTGAGAGACCGACAGGAGCAGGCAGCAGCAACCGGGGGAGACGCAGCCACCTAAGGGGGGGTCCGAGCCGGGGGGTTCACCGTGTCCAGTGTGAAAAGATCAGACACCGGGTCCCGGGGGAATGTGGACAGGGGTGCACCAGTGGCGGCCTCGGTACAGACAGCGTACTGCTCGTGTCCAGGGAACGTGATGGTAACACCAAGATCTTGAAGGCAGCCGACACCAACTAGGTTCCTGGAGAACGAGGGGATGTGCAGTGCTGTGAGCGAGCCCGAAGGAACCGCCGAGCAGGGGAGGGTGGTGGAACTGCGGGCGACTACAGGGCCGGAAGAGGGGTCAGCAAGAGTGACTGCGACAGGGACAGGAAGCGGTATAAACGTGGTGGAGTCGCGGAAGAAGCACCGGGAAGCGCCAGAGTCGAGGGTGTAGGAGAGCGCGGCAGTGGCTGCTGGAGGCGAAGCAGCGAAGGAAGCACCAAGGCTAAACAAGGCAGGGGATCCTCTGCCTGACGCAGCAGGGGAGGCTAAGCAAGGCACACCTACACTAGGCAATAAGGGGTAATAAGACGGAAGCACACTAGAGTCATCAGCATACATCACATGCAGAGTAGTAACGATCTCATCCATATCCAGACAAAAAATCTGAACCCTACGACGAAGCAAGCTGTGCCAGTCTGGGAGCTCGGGCGACTGGCCGAAGCGCTGACGAAACAACTCGTCCAGGTGACGGAAACAGCGGACGGAGGTGTGAACGATCATACCGCAAACGAAGCCACGGCGAGGACCGGTCTGGAGCAGGTACTGATAGCGCGCGTCACCCGAACCACCACCCAGCAGCCCACCACGCGCACCACCACCACGTCCAGCGCTACCACCAGCGCCAGGCCACCCGGGCGGGAGACCACTCGCCCGTCTCTGCTTCTGCTGCGGCTGACGTGAGTCCGGCTGCAACACCGGCGGCTGCTGAGACGGCTGCTCGGCTGCACCTGTCAGGGTCCCCTCATCCGCACCACCACCAGGAGACCCAGCTCTAGCACCACCTACACCTGCACCCCCACCCCCGCCGCCACGCCCAGCCTTGGGGCGGCGACCCTTCCCCGGACGGACCTGTGCTGCAGCGGCAGTCTCAGCCACAGCAGCAGAACCATCGGAGAAGGTGCACTGAGCGGGGGCGTAATCCTGAAAGATATGGACCGGCACAGTAGCGTTGGTCTGAGCAATAGAGCGGTGGTGGGCCTATATAGCGGACAGGGTGTCAACAAAGTCAGTGAGGGTGCGGTATGCGGGGTGGACACTAAGGAAGTGGTCACGGGCAGTGGCAAGATGGTCAGGGAGGCGGGTGGCTAGCAGGTAGAGAGTAGAGGTGAGGGGCGGCTGGTGGGCTAGAAGTTGTGTGGCAGTGCAGGCGGCACGCCAGGTCTCATCTATAGTGCGCAGGTCTCATCGCGTCGATGTAAATTCGCATACCGTCAGGCAGTGGTATTTGACTTGCAAATAAGTTCGACAGCTTTGTCCCGGGCAGTCTCTAATACTTATACAAACTGTTGCGATTGTGGTACTTGATTCTCGATGTTGGTGGAGATAGGTACTGTCGGGTCCATCCCGTAATTGAGGTAAAACGGGGAGTGATTAGTCGTAGCTGAGGGCACGTTGTTGTAGGAAAATTCGAGCATGGGCAGCGCGACCTCCCATTTGTTTTGTGCGGGGCAGTTTGTCCGCATCAGCTGCTCCAGCGTTTGATTTGTCCATTATGTTAGACCGTTCGTTTGTGGTTGATAAGCGGACGAGAATTGCAGGCGCTTGTCGTGCCGAGCCCACGTGTCTTGCCAAAAAATTGACTTGAACTTCGGGTCTTGATCGCAAATGAGTGCTCCTGGTATCCCGTATAGTCGAACAACGATCGAGATGAACAGTTGCACGGTTTCTTCGGCTGTGATTGTCGTGCGACATGGTGCGAAATGCGCCATTTTCGTTCGGTCGATGACAACCAACACTGCATTGATTTCGCTGTATCTGACCAGCAGACCTGTGACAAATCCCATCGTCACGTGTTGCCACCAGGCATTGAGGTGGCTTAAGGGGCTGCAACCGTCTTGTCGGGCGTTGACGTGATGATTTCATTCGCTGTCATATCAGACACGCGGCCACATAGCACTGCATGTCCGTCGCCATATCTGGCCCGCAACGCCTTCAGAGTATTTCATCCCCAAATTGTCGCGATAAATTTGAATCGTGGACTCCTTTGATCTGTAATTCGTGAAGTAGACGATGGTGAAGCGGCCCTCTCGTGGGGGCAACTGGAGGAATGTTGCGGAGAGGATTGCACGCAAGCATGTAGAAGGAGACTTGGTGAAGACTCTTTCACGAGCCGAGGGTGGCGACGAGACCTACGTGACGGCTATGCACGAAGTGATAATTGTCCAAGTAACTGGGAATGTTCCGCCGTGCTGAACAATGTTACAGGATCCGCCATGCGCAAACATGTGATCTATTCCCCCATTCACCATGTACCCCACCCCCCACCTAGTGATCCCTCATCCCCCCTCTCTCCCCCTGTACCCCTCCAATTGGCAGGTCGTCCGGCTGAATAAGCGGGTAATGGCAAGCACAAAAAATTGGCTTGTTGTAGGGTCTGCGTGGGATCCCACCTTCATGTCGTACACCAGGGAGCTGGCCATGTCCATCATGTCGTTGCTTGGGCAGGCGTTGGTTAGGGGCACTGTCCTAGCGTCTGAGATCTTTGTGAGTACTTATGGGTCGTGGTCCCCCACGGGGGTGGCCCACGGGAACCCCCACACCCGTGTCCCAGCACATTGGGAGTGCATATGATTGACCTGTTGGCACTGCCACCGAATTGGAGAAGTATGACTTTGAAGCACCGCGCTGACACATGACTCCAAGGACACGATGCCCTACAGCTGACAAGCAGTTGTCCGCCAAGCCCCCCCCCCCGCCTGCTCCTAACCCCCCCACCCCCCTCTTCCCCCCCCCCCCCCCCCCCCCCCCCCCATGCGCAAACATGTGACCTATTCCCCCACCCGACGCACCTATTCAGCCATATCGCCATTGCGTCGGGTGGGGCCAGCTAGCATGGCCGCTGTCCGATGCTGTTCTCGTACAAGGACTCTTTTGGTGCAACACAAGAAGCTGCTTTCGTGGAGTTCTACACAGAGCTGCCCCGCCCCTGCACTGTGACCAAGTGCAAGCGACCCATCCCTACCGTGGGCCTGGACCACTGTGCCGTAGTACGCACCATCAGCGTGATCTTTCTTGCGCATATTGTGCCGTGCTTTGGCAATGTGAAGCACCTCCTTGTTACTAAGTATATTTTTTTAGCGGTGCGGCACACCCTAGGCTCTTGACGCTTAGCGTCATTTATGGGTCATGCACTCATCCACTTTGACAAAAATCAGATACTCTGCTTAGCGTCTGTCGCTGTTGTAGTGTAGTTTTAAAACGTTCGTGATCTCCACAATTGATGATGTCTGCATGTTTGGGGTCGTGCAACTTGTGTAGATGGCTGCCGCCATGACCTGAACCTCAACCCGGTCATGGCCATGAGGTCCAGGTCATGGCACCTCTCACACACCCACAAAACTGTCGTCCCAAAACTTCGCCCCCGCTACTATGGACCGTTTACTATCAACCACATGATATCTTCCGCTATAGCTCACCTAGTGTTACCAGCCACCTGGAACGTCAGCCAATCATTCCACGTGCAATTACTTCGACCATACATCGCCAGCACCAGTAAATTACCACGACACTGAGGGAAACCGAACATCCGACCGATCGCCGAGCCTGCCGTTGAACCTGTTAGATTCTTAGCCATCAGATCAAGGACCCTCGAGCGGCTCGCTTGATCGAGTTTTTGTTATCTTGGTAGGACCGGATGGCCTTGGAAAACAGTTGGGTGCCCTCGGCATAGATCAAGAATAACCCAATGTTACGAGTCAACCTCCAGTCACGCAACGTGCACGACGTCGACGGTCTTAGCTAATACCATACCTTGGAGGGGGGAGGGTGTAAGGAAATGGCATTTCCTTATCATGGATTTTAGTTAGTAATGCATACACTGCTATAACAGGGCTGTCGCGCAGCTCTGCCATGCATATTACCCGCCTTGCTGTTTCATGCCTGGATCTAGGCGCTTCGCGCCAATTACGAACCACACGTCGCACCTCTGCCGAGCCACGAGCGTGTGCTCTAGGCTAGCTACCATGCTCCCAACTGTTTTGGTGTTGCCTCAATTGTATTCTTTCCTCGTTGCTCTTTGCGCTTCATTACAAAATGCAAGTCATGATCTCGAATCTTATGTACTGTGGAGGTGTAGGTTCAAGTTCTTGTACACCTCTTCCACTGAACACCCTGCGTCAATGACCGAGCCGCCTCCGAGAGTATTGGTAGTACTAGTAACCCCTGGCAAAACGGATTGATGTGGAAAAGTCCACAGTGATTGTTTGTAGGTTTGTGTTTTTTTGCTCTCTTCTGATCTCTCTCTCTTGATCTCTCTCGTTCTCACTCTCTCTCTCTTTTCCCTCCCTCTCTCTCCCTCTCTCTCTCTCTCTCTCTCTCTCTCTCTCTCTCTCTCTCTCTCTCTCTCTCTCTCTCTCTCTCTCTCTCTCTCTCTCTCTCTCTAGGTTTGCATTTATTGCATGTGTTTATGTTGGGCAGGTTCTGCTACTGTTACGAAAAATCTGGATAGTAAGGCCGTAAATGATAGGGTTTTTAGGTTAGCGGTAACCCTTACTAGCGTTTTTACTATCTGGGGTCACGTTTAGGCCCTATTGCAGAAGGGTTTTTCACTGTTCAAACCCCACGGGGGCAGTTTTTTGTTCTCGGAGGTTAGTTCGTTCCACAATGAACCACGTATAACAATCTCCTTAATCTTGGGCAGAGGGTAGAAACAATAAAACCCTTATGGGCCCGACATGCCATTCTGGATGGCATCAACCCTAAACTCGCAAAAGGGCTGCGAATTTAGGGTTTATGTCATCCAGAATGGCATACTGGCCCCTATGAGTTTTTGTTTTTCTCTTGCCAGCTAACCTGCCAAAAAATTGTTGTCATTTTCAGTAGCGCTACAGATCCCACAATACCGCATGAAATTTAGGGTTCGATAGCCATACATTGACGAAGCAAAGAGATTATAGCGCGTGGTTTGTTGTGGTGGAAACTGGCCCTTGGGGGTTGGAACAACGATAAACCCTTATGTTAAAGGGCTAAACATGACCGAAAAGAGTAAAACGCCAGAAAGGTTTACCGCTAACCCTAAAACCCTTGATGATACCAGTGTAAAACAGCTTTACGGAATGTAATGGATTGGAGTGAAACGCTATGGAGTGTTTCGTGTGCATGTCGCATTCTACTAACGCAAGCTCCAAGGATGTAGGAAATTGCTATTAGAGAATATCCTTGTGTGACCCTGGCAAAATTGTCTAAAACGTTTCCGATGTTGTATGAGCGTTGTCTTTTGCGTACTGTAGAGGGGCAGGGAGCCTGTCTTTTGTGCCGACCATGTCGACGTAGGCACGTCGCTCAGTATTCGTAATGTGTCGCACAACCAAGTTTCAACCTTTTACGCAATCTGAGGCGTTGCAACAAGAGTAACAACTGAAACTGAAATCATGTTAGCCGTATCTATTTTGGATAAACACAGGATTGAGTTCTTGGCGGAGTGCTCGCAGAGGATTTTTTTGGGCCATCGCGATGGTAGCCATAGCGTAGTGGTGACTGAAACTTGGCAGTTGAATACGCCCGCCGTGTGACTTACCACTTCTGTGTGGTGGAGAATTACGTCAAGACACCAGATCCGATTCAGAATCGCACTTGGCGTGTTCTGATTCGTCATTGTGTTGCACGAGGGTCTGGTAGTGGATTTAAACGTGGGCCTTGGTTGGCGCCCTAAACCACCTGCGACCGCTGTGGGTCATCAACCTTACCGCTTAGACCATTCGTTTCAGAAATGAAAATAACAGGATGTCATGCAATAAATATCAGCATGCTTGTCTGTGCCTGATTGGCAGGTTTCATGTTTATGTGCATTCGTGGGGTATGCCCATAAGGAATAATATACGCATGAGAAATATTTTGCTCTAATAGAATACACATAGCTTGCGGTAATTTCTTACCTAGTATTTTCACAGAGGGTGTCGCCTAGAGAGTATTCACCCCCCAAAAGCAGCTCCTGAAGACCAGATCAGGATACCCTTGAAAAACAATTTTCGCTGGAGTTTCTATTGATTTAGTGTTTCTCGAGTCAGGAAATGCGACATCAGCTTAGGCAGTGCTCAAAGTTTTTGCCAGCGTGGAGTCTGCAGCGCTTAGGCCGTAAGAACAAGGGAGTACTGTCTAAGCACTCAGAAATGGTCAGGGTGGAAACAAAAATTCTGCTGACGCCCAGTTTCAGGGTGTACAATTAACGCGGGCTAAGTGTACGACCTGAAATGCACTTGAGCTGTTCCCAAAAAGGATAGCGGTGTCATTTGTCTCGTTCCGTGATGATCGCATCAAATGCATCTTGGGTGCAGAGCAATCCCGCGGAAAATCTTTCCAATACTCCCAGATTCGTGGAAGCTTGCAGCAAGAAATCCTGGATTTCTTATTGAGCACTGTTAGGATTCTCTTGCCAGTGAC